TGTGACAAACACCAGATACAGCACTGGGACTTGATCAACAGCCGATACCGCACCGTGACGTCACAAACCAATAGGTGGCAGTAGTGTTCTTTGGCAAACATGGATGCCTCCAGTAAAGCACATTCAGATGAAAATTACTCTGTATTAAAAACACTGATCATTTATTCTTATTGTAATAAATTCAATTTTAAAGGAATTTCAAAAGTTTTAATTCTGAATATGAGCGGACTTTTCCTGTAAGAGATGAAGCCCTGTTGGCTTTCTGTAATGACGCCAACATGCAGACTGGTTTCTGTTAAAACATTATTGATTATTATTGAGCAGGTCTAAATAGAACAGTGATAATATTTCTATTAGAATCCAGTTTTGTCCTGGTTGGTAAATAGTTTGTTTCTCAGGGAATTGTTCCTCGCTTCTTGCAGGCAGCGACGGTTGGCGGCTCTACGACTACATCACGCGACATTTCATCGCCACCGTCAGTCAGGACTGCAAGTACCTACAAACCACCATTGACTTCCGGGTTGGCACGGAGGCCTTCTCCTGCAGCGGGAAAACTCTCATATCGGCAGGTAAGACCAGGAGTCGGGTCTGGAAGGATGATGTCATTTCTCCCTTTTCCTCTCTCAGCTGATGGAGCGGCTGCGTCCGGTTTTAGCTCTTTTCTTAAAGGTATTGTGGAGGATTTTTCGCAGATGTTTTAAAAGACCTGCCCTTTCGATGTGCGTGCAAGAGCGTGCATGAGCCCATTTATCCTCGTGCACTTTCTGTTTAAAAGTAGCTGTTCTCATAGCTCATACAAGCTTGCTTTGTCCGAATATCCACCTTAACCCCTAAATCCCTCAATCACTATATAAAGCGGGGACTATATGGTGAACTCAGTTAACTGACCGCTCGGACAGATGATCACAACAATGTTTCAAATTTGAAATAAATCAATAAAAGCTGTAATATCGTTCTGCATTTTTTTTTTAGAAACAGCAAATACCAGAAGTAGAAAAGTTGTACTCCACCTATTCCTATTAAAACCTCATTCATTGAAAAATAATAATGCCCCTACGTTATAGATTCTGAAAGGCCTTGCATCCAATAATACTGCACAAAATCAGTGCAATGAGTGCAATGCAATACCTCTGCTCCAGCCGCACCGCCCCCCCCTCGCCTCCACAGACGCTCTGCTGCACCTCTCCCAAATTGTAGCTGACGGCAGACAGGAGGCCGGCTTGTTTTGTTTTTATGACCGAAATTGCGGAAAACAAGTC